AAATTTAAACCAGCCAAGAAAAGAATCCTAATCCTAACTTAAAAAAAAAAAGGACTGACTTGCTACCGAGGGAGCTGGAAGGACCAACCTCTCACCACCCACCAAATCACAAAATGTACAGATGCCTACTGGAGTAGTTCCGATCCTCGTGGCCGCGTCTCCAAAATCCAGCCACAGTCCACATTCTCCTGGTCGCGGCGAATTGCTTTGCAACCTCGTCTCCCTTCCACTACTGATCGAGGTTCAACGGTGAGCCGACGAGCTGATTTTCACCGGATTCCAGCGGCTGGTGATGATCGTTGGTGGTATTTAACAATGGAGCTCCTTTGACCATGCAGAAAATCGACCAAAAACCACCTCGGAATCCTCCGCTGGACTTCGAATGGAATTCCTGTTGAATGCATCTTTGACCCCGATTCTTAGCCATCTTCCACAAAAATTCTGCCGATGAAATCCTGAAACCTCTTGGAGTAGAGCTTCGGGTCCACGGCAGATATCGAATTTGGGTCGGTCTGCAACGACTTGTAAACATGCTCCAGCCTTTTGGTGATGTCATAGTCCTGGAGAATGTCGATTATCCCGAAATACAGGATCACGTCGTGCACCTCGCCGGTCTGGTTCGGGGCCAGGAATCCCCCGCCACTGAGGAGAAACGGATCGAACTCGCTTCTTCTGGATGCTTGCTCTGCCTGGGCTGGCATGTGCGCACCCAGCCTAATCAATGGCTTCCTGAAATCAAGAAAAAGTTGGCATTAGAGAACACAGATTAATGGAGTTAACAAATAAGCTGTGGAGCATTCGTTGCTCTTAAACTGGACAGGACAATCATCTCTAATGCAGCTGAGCAAACAGCTAGGACCCAACAATGCATATGTGTTAACCAAGTGGAGAGCAATGAAGATTTTGCAGTATGATGGCTGCTCAAAGTTTCAACTAAAATGGGCACTGAGCCAGGTACAGCTTGTACGAGTTATATAAGGGCATGAGAGATGTGTAGAACCCATGATAAAGCACAAAAGCCATACTTTTAGGCATGACAAAGCACAAGGATGGGCTAGTAAGATATATAGAATAAAATCAACTGATTGCTTTCAGGCTAGTAAGGTACTGTCTGCTTCAATTTTCTAACATGCAATTGTAATCTTGCGATTTTATCCACAGCAAACAAATGTCGAAAAGAATCTTCAACACAAGGTACATAATGTTGAAAGGATGCAAAGAATTACTTCCGTTTCATGCGGTCATTTTGAGATAAGTTTGTAGAATTACACTAACATGAACCCAGGCTTGTTTGGAATGCATGAATTTCAAAGGAGTTTTGCAAGAAAAAGATAGGAAACAATTTAAAAGAAAACACGGCAACATACCGGCAGTCAGGTATCCTATCATAATCATTATCTGAGAAGCACAGCTCTGGCATGCCACCACCACCAACTTGAAATGTCTCGCACTTCATTGATAGCTCTGCTTAAGGATAATCGCTTAGGTTAGCACATATGGGCAATCTTTTCAACTTTTCTGGGTAAAGAACAAGGAACTTACTTGGAGAAGCGGTAAAAGTTGACAACCCCATCTTCGAGGCAGAGGCATCATCACAAAAGTGAACTCCCACCAAGAAGCTGTAGTCCATAATACCTTCAGACTCCAAAAATTCACAATCTCTCTGGAGTTGCCTGGAGAATAAATCCACACATCAAGTTAGTATTACCGATTCAGTTATTTTCTTGAAAGTAATTTCAACACCACAGATATCATAAGGGGTTGAACTTACTCATGGAGATCTCTATACCAAGACCGCCGCAACCGAAATACAAAGTTGAGATCTAAGTCTTTAAGAGTAGTTGTCTCATCAATCTCTTCTTCAAATTTGTCTGCCGTTCGGCCATATGATGAACCTTTAAGATCAAAACGGCGATGAATCTGATAGTCCGAGCAGAACAAATTTCCCATGACAATAAAACGGACCTGGAGAAGTTGTCATTAATCAGTAACTAACATAAAAACATTGTTGTGGCAAGGAATTGCAAATATTGCGTACCTTCGGTCCATTGATGGGCTTTACACAGTGGACACCATAGAACCTTGTAATTAGAGAGTAATCATATCGACTAACATGTTGGAAGTAGCTAGGCAGCATCCGAATAAGCAACTGCACAGGCAAATAGCAAGGTGATGAGATACCATTTAACAAACAGACCGTTTCTCTCAAAGTATTCCTACTTGGCAGCACATTTAGCTTTAAATTATATGCATCGGAACATAAGGACTAAGAAGACAATGCCAAAACAATGGCGCACATTCGCAAGGCTTGAAACCCTATGTGAGAAACAAGATTTTCCTAATTTAATGCCATTTTCACAATGCAATTGAAAGAACAATGCCAATCATTTCACAAGTGACAGAACCTCCAATCCAAATAAAAGGTTACCTACTTCATACAGGCTGTAAACAAGTGCCGTTCATAACGATGGCATGAGCAAGAAAATTACCTTGACTTCTGATTTTCTCACTGTTTTAATCATGAAACGGTCGTCTTGGGTGAGGTAAAAGAAACTTCCGCTCTTCCCAGGCGAAGACAGCTCCCTCAGTGCATCATTTCCACAGATAGCGAGCATGTAATCCGCCGGATCAACAGCAAACAACTTCCTCAAATGTCTGCATAATCCAGCATCCCAGTCAATAATAAAGATTAAAGAAATTAAACAAAAGAAGGAATCCAGAGATCTGATTGGAAGGAATGGCAAGCAAGCACCTGAACACCATTGGGCAGTAGTCCTTCCACCGGAAATCTGGGGAGGAATGTGGTGGCGTGACTTTTGACCCCTCAGGAGGGAACCGTGTCCAGAACTTCTCCCTAGGATCAAAATCTGCCAGTGCAAGCTCCCGCATCGGCACCGCAGCAGATTTCCCCACCGAATGCCTGAAAGATGCCCACAATAAACACCCACAAATCCAGAAATTCGCTGAAATACAAGCCACATTGCCAGCATTTTAGCAACGGCAACAACTAAATAACGAGGAATCACCTGATGCCCAATTGCAGCTGCAGCATGAGCTCGTAGTTCTTATGCCCCTTGGAGATGGTCTGCCCAGGTCGCTTCCCCTCAGGCGTGGTAGCGGCCGACGAGGACCAGCACGGGCCTCCGTTGGCCCCTCGCCGGGCGCTGCGCTGCGTCCGCATGTACGTTGGCGCACCTCCAGCGGGCGCGGCCTCCCGGTAGAGCATGGAGGCCTCGAGCGCATCCACAATGTCGCAGGTGATGTCCCCCGCCTCGCCCTCCGATTCCCAGATGCAGATCCGCGGCACGGCGGCCGCCTTCTCCCCAATCCCCTCCACGGAGGACCTCTTCCGCGCCGCGCCCCCTACGCCAACCGGCGGGAAGAAGGTGCCGCTTATGGCCGGCAGGTCGACGCAGCTCCGCGGCCAGGAGCCGACGTAGCGGCTGCCGTCGGGCCAGGTGAAGACCCCCGTGCCCCTGGGCACGCCGTTCTCCCACACGCCGTCGTAGCGGCTGCCGTTGGCCCAGATCAGCACGCCGCGCCCCGAGATGACGCCGCCGCGCCACTCCCCGACGTACTGGTTGCCGGCGGCCCAGACGTAGCGGCCGTGGCCGTCCTGCATGTTGCGGCGCCACTGGCCCTCGTAGTAGTCCCCGTTGGCGTAGCTCTTGGCGCCGGCCCCGTGGCGGCGGTCGGCCGCCCAGGCGCCGCGGTAGGTGGCGCCGTCGGGCCCGACGAAGACGCCCTGCCCCTCGATCCGGCCCCCGCGGAACTCGCCCTCGAAGGTGGCGCCCGAGGGCCAGGAGAAGCGGCCCTTCCCGGACGCCTTGCCGCGCCGCCACTCCCCCTCGTACATGCACCCGTCCGCCCACACGTACTTGCCCTTGCCGTGCGGCGCGCCGCCCGCGAACCCGCCGCTGTACACGTCCCCGTTCGGCAGCGCCTTCTCCACGAACGCCGCCTCGCCCCCCTCTCCCTCGCCCCCGCCGCCTCCGCCGCCGGCGGAGGCGAGGACCATCGCCGGCGCCACCCGCCTCATCCGCCCGCGCCGCTCACGCCGCCGGCATTGCAGATCGGGGCGGCTAGGGTTTGCGATTCGGGGCCGCCTCCGCCGCCTCCCTCCCCTCCTAAAGCCTCTCTCCGCTCCCCCTTTTCGCCTCTGTTTTTTTCTGTGCGCTCTCGCTGGCGGTTTGATTTGGGGTAGCGGCGGCGGTGGTGGTGGCACTGGGCTGGCTAGTAGTAGTACTGTGGAAGGGGAAGGGGATGGGGATGGATGGAAGAGGAGTGAGGAGGGGGGAGGGGACGGGCGCTTTTACCGTACTGCCCCCAACGGGAGGCCGCTCCTCGGCATGCCGCATCTGGGGGCCGGGGGGAGTTTACGGAACTGCCCCTACCTGGGTCCGTGGGGCGGCACGTGGTCCCGCCGGCCGGCCTTCGTCGTCGTCGACCTCTTCTGGGTCTGGGTCCAGGTCCGGGTCCGGTCGGTGGTGGGTGGAGCTGCGCCCGCGCGCGGATGACGAGGGCCGGTGACGGGTCGGGTCCCGGGTCCGGGCGTTGGGGGTGGCGAGGGGGTTGGCGCGGGGAGGTCACCGACATGTGGACTCGGTCTACAACTGTGGCGTTTCTTTGTTTTTTCACGAGCATGCATTCACTGCTGGCTTCCTTGGGCCAGCGCTGCTGCTGGCCGGTCGGCGAGACGACGGAAGGCACGTTTTGTTCGAGGCTGATTTGATTTTACCGCGGCCGAGTTTGGGCGACCTGCTGTTTGTCACTGGCGTGGTCAGTAAAATGACTTGCACATGAGGCTGATCGTAATGGTAGTATCATAGTTAGTATTTTCTCCGTTCCAAAATTTTTGTTTTGAATTTGTCTAAATATGAATGTATCACGTTTTAGTATTAGATACATCCGTATCTAGTCAAATCTAAGACAAGAATTTTGGGACGGGAGGAGTACCGTGCACGCCAACTACGCAATTTTGATGAGGTGTCATAGCATTAAATGAAGATAAAAAAGGGTGGAGTATCATATCATGATACTGTATCATAATAAATGTTATGCTACTTTTTGTCATGCATGGCAATAAATAGAATACTACACGATACTAGTATATGATACTCACCATTACAACCAGCCTAAGGAAGTACTCCCTCCGTAAACTAATATAAGAGTGTTTAGATCACTATTTTAGTGATCTAAACGCTCTTATATTAGTTTACAGAGGGAGTACACATTATATTTGGCGGAATACATGGTTTATGTGTACGCCCTTCTGTTTTTAAATGACTCGCACACAAGGAAGGATGCATTTCCATTTGTACTCTCCGCCCCGAATTACTTGTCGCATAAGTGAATATGTTTCTGCAAGAAGTGTTTTACGCGGAGGGAGTATCATATATACAGACATAAAGTTGATGTTGTTAGTTTTTTCTTCTTACTTGTTGTGCTTATGGTTTGCTATCATAAAAAGTATTGTCTCCGTCCCAAATTACTTGTCGAGGAAATGTGTGTATCTAGATGTATTTTAGTTTTAAGTATATTTATTTTTACTTATTTTTGCGACAAGTAATTCTTGATAGAGGGAGTATATCCTAATTGTGTAACTATTTGGTGTTGAGATCTGGATGAGAGAGTAAACTCGACCCGGAAAAAAAACAAAAACTCAACCCTCAATTTCGTACGAGGTTCCTAGGACCATTCACCACGGCAAATAATCGGACAGGGCGCGTACTAGTCACCATCAGATGCTTATACGGTGCTCAGTGTCAATGCCAACGGACTAATACGGTAGACAAAGTATTGCCACTTGTAGAAGGAGCGCCAATCAAACGAAAAGCGCGGCCTGACCTGCATGCTTTGCTGAGGTCACGGAATTAGTTTGGTGGATTATATAGTAATCGCGGCTTTATATGGGGTTATGAACGATGATTCGGTTGTATATAATTGATGCGGATTTGGTCAGATCTCCTCTTATTTTAATACTATTTCTCCCATGCACGTCGTGGGAAATGCCATTTGCATATTATAAGGATGGTCAAATTTCGATCAGCTTCGCGATACGTGCGTCGATTTTGCAGGCCGCAAAGTTGCCCCGGACGGAAATGATCTTGGCTAGTGAATGGGCAAGATCGGGTGGGATGCAGACCTCAAATGCAGTGAAATTCAGATTGGATGTATGCTTGGCTCTCGGACGAACCATTGTATTTGTAGAACAACACTATGGGCTACTTCTTTTGGGCAATTCTCACAGAATTAACCCCCTCCCCAGCTTCTCCAGAATTGCCACTTAATATTTTTGTACAATTCCTAGCTAATTAGACCTTAACTAGCTAGGAATTGTAAAAAAATATTAAGTGGTAATTCTGGGAGAAGCTGGGGAGGGGGTCAATTCTGAGAAAATTGCCCAAAAAAACTGGCCCTATACCTACTTGGAGAAAGAACGGATATTATTTGATCCGTCTGGCAAAAGGTTGGTTGAGCCGGGCGATCTGAGAATCGGATTGCATATGTCTCGTCGGACGTGCCCATCCATGCATATGCATAGCATATCTATGCATATCCCCCATACCATGGGATCGTAGCGCCTTTCTAGTTTAAGGCGAACCAGCAGCACACTTTCCTTTAAAGGAATCTCGCGAGTAGTTTTTGTGTGTGCCCTGGTCCCATGCCGCTCGAATTTGACTTTGATGAGACGACGAAAATGACACCAGGGTGGGTGGAGACCGAATTCTAAGTGCACGCGTAATGCATCTGGACGAAATTAATATTCCAGCGTGACGGATGGCCTCGCATCACTGGCTGGGCGCCTGCTCCACCCGGAATGCGTCCTGCTCTGCCTGCATCCGGGCAGCCTCCTCCGTCTGCATCCGGGCCGCAGCCACCCTCGCCACCTCGTACTTCCTACGGTCGTTGATATCCATCTTCTTATCCACAGGCCACGTCTTTGCATGCTCATCATAGAGGGTCTCATCCGCCAACATGATCCTTGCATCTTCCGCGTCCCGTGCGAGTTGCAACCTTTCCTTTTCAAGCTCTATGTCGCCAAATGTCTAGGCCTTCTCGAGCTCCCATTTGATCGCCGCTTGTTGCTTCTCCAACTCAATCTTCTCCCTCTCAATTTCCAGCTTCTTCTCCGCCCTCTTCCCGTCCCACTCCATCCTTTCCTTTTGCGCATCCAACATGAACTTGTACCTCTCCTCCTTCTTGCTCTCCCTCACTGAAAAAATGGCCGTTTGTGTGGACGACATTTTGGTAGCCGCGACATCACGGGCGGCACGTGCCTTCTCGCACTTGTTTCCCATGACTTGGTGGTTGTCCTTTGGCACGGTGGCTTTTCCATTCATCATGAAAGCATCGTCCTCTTCATCGTCCAACCCAATTGATTGGTTCGAGCTTGAGCCATCATTCATCTTCTTGCCGGACTTGAGGTCGGCCACAAGTTGGTTTCACTTCGGCTTGCCATTCAATATGACCCAACAATGGCTAAAAGCAAATGGCTTCTTCTCCAACTTGTGATACAAAGTGGCTGCCACCGCCGTCTAGCAAACAACACATGTATGAGCACGAGAATTCAAACACAAAAAGCATATGCAATGGAAGACGAGATGGGGCAATCGAGCTTACGTGAGTTGCGACTCCCATCCCACTTCGAGGTTGTTTCATCACTTGTGAGTTTTAGCCGATGTACTTGTTCACTTCCCCTTGAATAATCCCCCAACGATGTTGGAGAGATGCCACACTGCGTGTGGTCACGATAAGATGCGGCTCCACATACTCCTTTTACTCGTGATACTCCTTCCAAATCTTCGTCCAATAGGTGTTCCCCTTTTGCTCGGTCTGCATATTGGATCCATCGTTGTGGCCAACCAAGCTTTGACCAACAAGATGTCCTCAAATCTTGAGAATGCTAGACCTCTTGCCTTCGGCGTCTTGGTCTTCTTCTTCTTATTGTTCAGGTTGGGATCGGTTGTTGTCCCAACTTCAAATGCGGTGGTGGCCTCCAAATCATACTCCATTTCGGTCGGATCTTCATTGTCATTGATCATGTTCGATAAGAATGCCTCCTACATGATTAATTTGCAAGCATTCATCATGAGTGAAATGAACTAGTGGTCTATGCTAAAAAATGATCGGACAACCCTCGCAGAAAATACGACCAGACAAAGGGCAAAGAAAATGCACCACTCTTGTTCGGTCATTCCATCGAACATGTTGAGGGCAGCACGTGCACCGCCAGCGCCCGAACGAGCTGCGGCGAGTCACACACGTCGACTGTTGGCATCTGCGTGGGCGAAAAGCTATCCGGAATGGCCCAGCCGGCGCTCGGATCATCCTATGTCCCAAGGGGGTCGGACGGCATAATTCGCATTGGCGCTCAAAGGGATGTGGTGCAGGGATCCGGGCGCGATGGAGGAGAAAGCTGCTCCACCACGTCTGAACCTCCCTTCGCCGCCGCCGCCTCCCTCTCTTGTTGTCACATCGCCACAACTTGCGGGCCATGTTCTCCGCCTTGCTAGTCGCCGCTGATGAAATTAAACCGCCGACAGACGAGGCGGACTGCGTCTGCGTCGAGGCGGTGTGGGTCGGGCTGGAAGACATCTCCGGCGGTGGATTTGGATCGGACGTGGGGATTGGAAGTAAGGGTGGAGGGCGGCGAGGGTCCGGACGCGGGAATGGTTGGAGGGCGACGGGAGGAGGAGGAAGGGTTTGGTGGATTTGGTGCAATTTGGGATGGGGTCGGGTTGTCGGGTCTGACGTGGTGAGCGTGCCCAGGCACCCCCATATTTGGGCTGGATATGGGAGGTGCCTGTCAGCCCGGGCATTTCAGAGGCGTTTGAGAGGCCCGTCTGGGTCATAAAATCATAACCGGGCAGTGACCGGGCGGCCTGCCCGGGCGTATGAGGCAGGTTTGAGAGGTCCGACTGTAGATGCTCTTAAACAGTTTGATTGTGATGCTTTGCTGTTTTTTTACTAGGACGCGGTCATCGGCTTAAGTTTTACTGCGAGATGCACATTAGAGTCAAAGCTATTCCAAAGAAA